GGGGTTGAAGAGATGGAGGGAAATAAGTCAGGGTCTTGGAATAAAGGGGTATTCCTATATCCCCAGTTAAAATCAAAGTGGTTTCAAATTCATAGAGAAGGTGCCCATAGTGGAAGCCCTAGACTGTCCGCTGTTTCCAAGCTCTAGATCCTCACCCACAAGGGTCCTGACATGATACCTGACTTCTGGTCAACTTGCCCATGACGACGGCTGTCAGAGAGCCCTCCCCTACCTGGCCTTGCCTCACACTGACTAGAGACCTCCCAGGAACAGAAATGTGAGAAACCAGGCCCTTGTGAGAAGCGGAGGATGCTGAAATGGGAGAAGGGAAGCAGCATCTTTAGGAGATGCTGACCCCAGAGGGCAAATTCCCAGGCAAGGCCCGTCTCTGATGTCTCACCACAAAGCCTAACTTTCTTCCAGGTCAGTAGCCATGCAGCCTTAGTTTGAGTAACAAATTCCTTCCTCCTCCACTCTCTTCCTTCCTCCCTCACTTCCATTCTCTCTTCCATATGTGCTAACAAGCATCTTCTTGGGAAAATGTGAATAGGCCTCCCTGAGATAGAGGTTGTGAGTCATTTACACACTAGTATGAATTAGGCCAAGTAGCTTGCTTTCTCCCAGCACCCTGTGAGATCAGCCATACTAAGGAAAGGAGCATGGGGCACGCAGGTCTAGGGGACCAGCCTAAATGGGATGACTGTGGTGGGGGGCAGTTGGTCAGCATGGAACTGCCAGGGAAAAGAATACTAAGAGATGGCAGAACTTTACAAGAAAGGGGCTTGAAAGATAACGAAGCACCTTTGTGTCCACCTGTGTCTGGGAGACCAGCTCCTTATCCAGGAAGGAAGGGAAATGCTCCCCATCCCTTTTGACCTCCTCCTTTTTCTGAGCATGGCACCACTTCTTCTGCCAAAGCCCAGGGTCAGAAACTCAGACCCTGCCTGCTTGTCCCCAACACCCTCCTAGGTAGCTGTTACATCTGCTGTATTTAATTTTAATTTAAAAAAAATTTTTTTTAGTTGAAGTACATTCAGTTTGTAATGTTGTATCAATTTCTGATGTGCAGCATAATGTTTCAGTCATACATGTACTTAGATCTATTCCTTTTCATATTCTTTTTCATTATAGGTTACTACAACAGACTGAATATAGTTCCCTGTGCTGTACAGTAGGATTTTGTTGTTTATCTATTTTATATATAGTAGTTAGTACCTGCAAATCTGGAATTCCCAATTTATCCCTTACCACCCCTTTTCTCCCCTGGTAACCATAGGTTTGTTTTTTATGTCTGCAAGTCTGTTTTGTAAATAAGTTCATTTGTGTCTTTTTTTTTTTTCTAGATTCCACATTAAAGTGATATCATATGGTATTTTTCTTTCTCTTTCTGGCTTACTACACTTAGAATGATGATTTCAGGGTCCATCCATGTTGCTGCAAATGGCATTATTTTACTATTTTTTAACAGCTGAGTAGTATTCCATTGTATATATATATACCACACCTTCTTCATCCAGTCATCTGTCAATGGACATTTAAGTTGCTTCCATGTCTTACATCCACTGGTCTGTAAAGTCAGGGCTTATCTCCAGGGGAACAGGGCTGAGACTTGGAAAGATTTCTACTCTTCAAGAAGGGCTCAGTTACATTCTTTGGTTAATCCTCAATTAGACAGCTGATTAAACTATCAACAGTACTCCATTCCTGAATATCCTCGTTAGTTTTTAGAGATGGAACGTGCATCTCTGTAATGCTTTTAGAATCAACAAAATAAATGCCACATCATCCCCACATTTGCTGTCATCAGATTATCAAAGTAGCCAAAGTTAATGCTTAGTTTGAACATTTAATCTGTAATGTTTTCTCCTAGCTATGGTTAAAGAGATGTAACATTTTCCATGTGGTAGAATTTTCTCCTACCAAGAGAAAAATTTGAGTAATACTCTAGAAATTCATCTGCTGGTCTGGCAGTCGACAGACCCCCATTGAAAGAGAGGAACAGGGACTCCAGTTCAATAGACTTCTGTCTAGCTACAAGCTCTGGGGCCAGCCAGTGCCAAGACCTTCCAGTTGAATTCTTGCTTCCGTCTGGCAACTGCCTAGATCCTAAGCAAAGTAAATGTTGCAGATAAATGAAACTTACTTATTTTCAGGCCTGAGTTTTCTTTAGGTTGACTAGGTTTGACAGACACGTTTCTCCAGTGTTTCCTTCTCTCCTTCCTAAAACAGATCACATGGGATGCACTTGAGTCAATTCTAGAGACCCATACTTCTCATTGTGAATTTCAGGAGTGTTCTCAGAGCTTTTGAGGCATGTGGAGCTGTTTACCTGCACGTAATCCCAGACTTCTGTACCTTTTGACCACTCTGTCTGTTTCCATAGTGTTTCTGTCCTCTCTGTGTCCATCCCTGCTTCTGGTGAGCCTGCTCCAGGGCCTAGAATGGATGACGGAGGCCCAGGACCACACTGATCAAAACTAAAACTAAAACGTTTCATGTGTATTGAGCACTGACAAGGTGTCAGGCACGTCATCAATATTTGTGTGTGTTAACCCGTTTACTCCTTACTACGACCCTGTAGTGGAGGAGCTGGTATGATGGTCCCCCTTTCAGATGAGGAAACCGAGCCCAATGATGGGAGGCACACAGCTGGAAGCCGAGCCCAGGCAGCCGCTGACCTCTGGAGCCTGCCCTCCTGACCACTCGCTCTTCTGCCTCCAGGGACACCCCACCTCCCTTGCCGCACAGGCTGGCCCCGTTCTTGCTTTTCCCTGAATTCTGGAGCACTGGGTTCATGGAGGCCTCTTTGGAAACACCTGGCATTCTCATCACAGTATTAGAAAAATTAACTCTAAGGCCCACTCTTTGGAAAAATACTAAAATAGATAAGACTCTGTTCTGCCCAATCAAGAAAATGGGGAGAAAACCCAGACACAAGATTAGAAGGGATGCAGGGTAAGTAACCAAATGTACAGGACATCCAAAGAAGCAAAAAATAACACTATCTTTTTGCTCATATGTATTTGGGCTACATAGGACATGTGAGATGTCCAAGTGGAAATGCAGGGAGACCATACATGGGTCCTAATCTTCCCCAGCAGACTTTATGTGCTTGAGGTATGTCACCATGAGGTGGTCTCCAGCAGGCGCCATAGTAGGAGTCCCACATCTGGGACATCACATCTTCCTCTGCTACAGCAGGGTCAACAAACTTACGGCCCTCGCGCCAAACGCAGTTCCTCGACCCATTTCTGGAAATTGTTTTCTCGGCACACAGCCAGGCTCTTTCATTCACACATCATCTCTGGCTACTTTCGTGCTTCAGCAGAGACCATTTGGCCCCCAAAGCCAAAAATACTTACCATCTAGTCTTTCACAGAATAAGTTTGTGACCCCTATGCTGGAACCCTATAATTTCTCCAGTGTCAGACTAGTTTCCACGTTAATTAATTGGTCCAAAATTTCCAAGCTAAGTAGGTGGTGCAAATTCAGACCTCACTCATGCATATGCCCCACGTGTGGTGTCCCAGTTTCCTTCAGATGCTCTTTTTCTAGCCACGGCCTGTGGAGGGACAACCTTGAGGCCTCTCCTTGGACCAGGGCAGTTGCTCTTATCTCAGTGTGAGAGATTCCTGGTTATATGGGTTTTCTTTTGCAGCTTAACAAATGATGGTTGTTTAAACACCCAGTTTACATTCACAGTGCTGTTGGTCAGAAGTCCAGCATAGTGAGGCTGGTTTCTCTGCTTAGGCTAAAATCAGGTTGTCAGCCAACTTGACATTCTCATCTGGAGCATGCGATCCTTTTCTAAGCTCATTCCTGTTATTAGCAGATTTCAGTTCTTTGAGGTTATAGGACTAAAGTCCCCAGTTTTTTTGCTGGCTACTGGCCAGGGACCTCTCTCAGCTCCGATGGGCCACTCTTAGGTCCTTATACCAGGGTCCTCGCATCTCAGCAATGGAGAGCCTCCTTTTCAAGTCGCTCTTGTGCTTTGAATCTCTCACCTTTCTTTTTCTGCCACCAACTGAAGAAAACTGCTTTTAAAGGGCTCATGTCATTAGGTTAGGATCAAATGATAATCTCACTTTCTCACAGTCTACGGTGCCGTATTACGTAGCCTTATCACGGGAGGAGTATCTCGGCATATTTACGAGTTACACCCACCAGCAGACAGAAGAGCATTCTACAAGGATGAGGTCCTTTGGGGTTATCCTGGAAATCAGCCCATCACCCCAGATTTTTGTAGGGAGCCCCATTCCAGCTTCCTACCACACACGGGCCTCAGGCCTCATCTCCTGTCCTGCTCAGGCTTATAAAACCCCATGCCTTGAGGAATACCCCTTTTTTCTTATCCCCTCGTGGGCCATTCAACTTCAGCTTGCTGCTCCACTTCCTGCTCTGGCTTTTAGTTCCTTCCTCATTTTCCATACCGGAGATTTTCCTTTTCTTGCTTCCAAGATGGGCAAACATTTAAAAATAATTTTGTTATGTTATAACAGTATGTTTAAGTGTTTGCAATGTGGGTTTTTTTTTCCCCTCAGTAGCACGTCAGCCATATTTTCCAGAGTTTCAGTATTAACACTGTACGTTCCAAGATTACCGAGTCCATTAAAGTCAGTGGACCCTCAAAGTCCTAACCCCAGTGAGGAGCAACCAGAATTTTACAAAGAATTAATGGTTAATCAGCCTGAAACTTGCTGATGTGTCGTGTCTGGGCAGCAGTTCCCTTGTTTGCGTTATCTTTGCTGACCGTATCACTGCAAGAGCTGAGATGTGTGAAAACCAAGGAAAATAAATTGCCATATCTTTCTGAGAACTAAAGCTTTTCTGATAAAACAGTAAGATCGATGAACAAAAGAGAGTTTCCTTCACTGGGTTCTCTTGTCCAAATGCTTATTATTTGCAAGTCATTCACCATCACTAAAGGCATAGTTATTCTGTTTCCATTTTAAATCTGCGATATTTTTCTTTTACGATGTTGTTACGATGCTTTTCTTCAGATGTGGCCGAGCAGTATTTTCAAGAGAGCATGGCTAATCTTAAGGATGCGGAAGGAATGGAAAAAGCCAAATTTCTTTCAATTCAAGATGATTATTGCCATTTTTTACAAGTCACTGGACAGCAAGAGGTGAGTTTAGACCACAGTTAACCAGTTATTTACATGGGCTACCTGGTTAATATCCATAGAGTTAACCCTTCACTCTGCAAGCATCCTTTAAGCATCTACTCTGTGCAAGGCATGTGCCAGGCTCTACAGGGAAAAGGGTAAGTAAGGCCAGGTGGCCACACTTGGGCAGCTCCCAGATACTCACCCTTGGGAAACGAAAAAGCCTATGAGAACTTAGATACCATGTCCACTTGCAAAGGATCCTAAAGAACTAGAACCTTGAGAACCCAGTGGACAGACCCTGCTTATCTCAGCCTGTGGTTCTGGCTGGCCTAGAGGGTGGCAGTTAGTGTGTCTGATTCTCTCTTATTTTGGGTAATGGATGGAATTTACATACATAATAAGAACTGCACATTGCAGAAGTTACAGCTCACTCACTGTCTGTGGAATCCTACAGGCTTGTTTTCCGTGGCTTGTAAACATGGAACAAGACCCAGAGTTTACATCCGTTGGTAGTTAAACCCTTGGGAACATGTTCCATACAAAGTGTAACCGCTACCAGAAAGTCACACGCTGTGGCTCGATTTGTGCAGATGTACGCTTCCCCCTGACCCCCGTTCTCACCTATCAAAGCGAATCTTTGAGATGAAAAACTTCATCTTCTCTGATGTTGTGTAGACCTCCTCCCTGATCGCTCTCTCCTAGCCCTTAATCCTTCACCCTTCACTCAACTGATGGAGCTTAAGGAACAAATTTTTTCATCTAGATGCACCCATGGTCCTCAAGCCAAAGTAGGGCTGTCGTAACCATAACAAATGGAGTTTCCTTATTTTCCTGGATCACCCAACCAAGTAGAGAGAGGCCTTCCTGCGGCCTTAGATTCTAGAACATCTCCAGGCGTTCTATGGGGAGGTCGGTAGTCTGAGCGGAAGCCTGCCCTCATCACACCTCGGTGCTTGCAGCTCATCAGTCACTTTTACCTCCAAAATGCACCTTGAATCCATCCACTGGTTGCCAGCTCCACCTCTGCCATCGTCATCTCTGGCCTGGACCACTCCAGCACACGCTGGTCCTCCAGCTGCTCTTCCCCCCTTGCCCTTTTCTAATCCATCCTGAATAAGGAAGCCCTGGTCATCTTTTCAAAAAGTTGACCCGATCAGTGGACTTCCATTTGTAAAATATTCCTCTAGCTCCTCAATGCCCTTAAGATAAACTAGAATCCCATATGGCCCCCAGTATCTTGCACGATCTGGATTCTGCTGACATTTTCAGTCTCATTTTTCCCCCCTCTCCTATTCTGGCCACACTGGCCTTTTCTAATCTCCACTTCTGGGCAGTGCTAGCTTTTGTTTTCTGCTCTTGGAAGGTTCTTCTTCACTGATCTCCTGGCTGGTGCAGAGCCATCCTTCAGGACTCACCAGCGTGCCTGCCTCCTCTCTCCCATTCTTCATTACATTCTCCCCAGGATTCTTCATCATAGAACCCTGCTTGATATAATAATACAGCATAGTAATGTAGTACAGTAATGCATTGGAAGTATATATGTGGACGTTTGCTGTCTCTCCCCGGACTAGACCAAATTCCGTCTAGAGCAGGGACCCTCTTACTCGTGGCAGGGGATCGATGAGCAGATGGGTAGATGGATGCTTGGCGATGGGCCGTCTGACTGCTCAGGCTGCCACAGGGCATCCGCCCTCTCCCCATTCCTGTCTGACTTCCTGCCCTGGTGTCTGTGGTCACCGATGCTACACCTCACTGCCCTTGCCAGGTCACCCAAACCAGTGGCGTGGATCTAAAGATGCACCTCACTCCCCGCAGACTCCCTTGAGATTTTAGCAAACTGGCTCGTTTCATTCTACAGCCCCTGCCAGCCCTTCTGGTGCCCTTGTAAGAACAGGCAAAGCTGCCTCTACCTCAGGTGGATGCAGCCCGTGCAGGGCCGTCCTCGTCCTCCTGCCAGGCCTCCTTGTGTGTGACACAACCTGTCCAGCCAAACGTGGCAGCCTTGCTCTATGCTCGCCCTTGGTTGCAGACCTCTCCCTGTGGGTTCTAGCTGGAGTCTGCCAGCAGGGCTGGGCCCACGGACAGTCCCAGGCACGAGTACAGGGCTGGGCTCAGACCACCGAGATGTGTTTACAGCCTACATGTGGCTCAACCCCTTTGCCAACGGGAAGGTGACCTTTGGGGAGCGAAAATGCTTTTTACAGTAAAACGTAAGTGAAGGTCACTGTCCCACAGGTTAAGGTGCTCTGTGTAAAGATACTTTTCTAGTTGTGCTACTCTGCTGCTCGGGAACCTTCTCTGACTTTCTTATTTCCCCATAAGACAATCCAAACGCCTCAGCCTCCTCCTTGAAGGCCTTCCACCCCCCACTGAGCTGTGCCTCCTGCCCCATCTCCCTCTGCCCCCTTCCTACTTTCTCTGCTGCTGTCAAATGAGTCCCCTCCCTGGCCCCGCACCTGCCACGTGCTTCTCCCATCTCACACCTGTGCTCCCAGGTCCCCAGGCCCTCTTCTCAGCCCACCGAAATCCTCTTTATTCTTCACTCCTCTCTATTAAGCTTTTGCAACTTCAGAGACTGATGGTCTCCGTCTCCTGTAAACCCCGTCCATCTCTTCCATAACCATCTCGACGTACCATTCAAGTTCATGCACATCTATGTCCAGTTTCCCCAGTCAGGCTGTAAATGGCATCGAGAGCTTCATTTAGGAAAAGAAATCTGGCTGTTTCTCCCATCACTGGCTCCTCCAAGCCCAACAACCAGTGTTCGTGGAAAAGCTGCCAAAACCCGACATCACAGATGCTGGAAGGGGACATGGTACTAGGGACATGACAGGCTTTAGCATCAGGCAGGTCCCTCATGTAGCCAGCTGGGTCACATGCTTCACAATTTACACAGTTCCTCTTCCCTGCAGTGATCTATCTTTCGACCTCAGAAATCGTTTCTTGTCCTATCAGTGCCTTTACTGTGGTTCACTGGTCCCACCCCCAGCACCTAATTCATCTTCCTGCCAATCAAATGAGTGAAGGCCTTGCTAGTACCTCTGTCTGGGTAGTGCTAGCAGGATGGCTTCACAGCTCTGTGGTGGGCAAGGCTCCTTCACTGACTCCTGCTTTATTGGGCTCTTAAATTTGGCACTTGTGTTCTCTAACTGTAATCATGCTTTCATGGAGAAGACCGTGGAAGAATTTCAGGAGAAATGTGGGAGACTGAAGAACAGGATTTTCCCCTCTGTATGTCTTGGTGTCTGACTGAAGAGATTAATATGAGAAGACAGTGGTTTCTGACCAGCTCATGTTTTTTATTCCATGTTCCATAAATCAATCAGATAAACCAAACAACATGTCAAATCTGTTTAATATTTTCACCATGTTGGAATGTTTGCTTTTGGTTTCCTGGACTGTTTCTTGTGAGAAAGAGAAAACCCTGGAACATGTTCTAGATGTTCTATAAGTAGATCCATTGCCAGGAAACTCTATAGTTTTTCACTTACGTAAGAACATCCCTGCACAGAGGGAGGAGGGCCTGCAACTGGAAAGGATTAAAATTACCTGCCAAACTCAGATCCTAAGTCTGCGGTTGATGAGCTGTTTGGCTCTGAGCAAATATCTTGACTGCTCTGTGCCTCATTTTCCTCCTCTGTCAAACAAGGATTGAAGGAGGCAGTGCGAATTAAATGAGCTCACACACGTAAACTCTTAGCACAGTTCTTGACGCGTGAAGGACACAGTACAGTACGCGTTAGCTTTTGTTCCTACTACCCAACTGCAAGGGATTCCTGCAGCATCCCAGGTGGCCCTTTTCTCCAGGGGTCCTTTGTGCCTTCTCTCTTCACAGTTCGCACCATTCCCTCCCCCCACCCCGTGTAGGTTATTTCCTGACTCCTTTTTATGGGGAAAGTAGGCTTAGTTCATGAGACACTCCAGCCAAACTCATCCCCCTAAAAGTGAAAATACACATCAGTTACATCACTTTCTCAGGAGGCGCTGATCCCAATCTGCCTTTGAACTTTTTCACCAGATTTTTGTTCCTTTCACAGAGAGCAGCCTCCCTCCTGAGAGAGTCCCTGGAAGCCAAAGTGGGAGTGTTTGGAGATCTCAGTCCCGAGGTGGCAGAGACATACCGGCTCCTGGGAGGGGCCGACCTGGCACAGGGGAACCAGAGCGGTGCCCACAAGAAACTGAAGAAGGTATGAAAGCGGAGAAAACCCGCCCTGCCTTCCCCACAGGTGGCTTTCTCTCCCTCCACAACACTCTTTTCAAATGAGACTTTACAGGTGGCTTGTTTAGGGAAGATGATGTCACTTTCACAGTTGATCTCAGCTAACACTTTTTGGATAAAAGATATAGTAATCCTTTTATGCACAAAGATTTTAAAGTGAATTTTCAAGTTTTTTTTTTACTATGCAAATCATTTAAAATTTGTACCTAGTGTAATTGATCAATCTTATTTTATTACACTCTTTCTGTAATGCCCAGGTTATAGAGTAAGTCTCCTATGTGTTCTGGCACTTCTGTGTCTATTTCTTTTTAAATTTGGAGTTTGTGTGGATGGTGTGAGGTATGGATCTAATGTTATCTTCTTCCCAAATGACCGCTCAGTTGTCCAGCACCATTTTATTAAACAACCCGTCTCTACTCCAGTGAGTTGAACTAACACCTCCATCATATACTACATTTCCATATGTACTTGAGTCTATTTCTGGATTTCTTTCTATTCCACTTTTCTCATTGTTTATTTGAATTCTAGGACCTCATTGCCTTAATTAAAGAGATTTCATAGCAGGATATAACACTTGGTAGGGTTAGACTTCCCTTGTGGTTTTTTGGGGTTTTTTGGTTTTTTTACTCCTCCTCAAATATCAGGTTTTCTAGATATCCTTGCAAGTTAATTTTTCCGCATGAATTTTGGTATCAGCTTGTCTAGCTCCATAAAAAGTTTGGTGGTATTTGTTGGAGAATTTGGAGAATTACGTCATTTGTAAATGAACTTTGGGAGAACTGACATCTTTATGCTGTTGAATCATTCTGCCAAAGAACAAGGGATGTCTTTATGTGGGTTCATGTCTACTTTGTATCATTTGGGCACATTTTAAAGTGTTCCTTACATAGGTTTTGTACATTTCTTGCTAAGGTGATTTCTAAGCATTTTTCGTTATTACTGCTGTTAGAAATGGAGTTTTACCCACTATTACACCTTTCGACAAGTTATTTTTGTGCATACAAAGACTATAGTTTTCTCTATGTTAATTTTATTTTCTTCTTTTCTTGCTTGAGTTAATTTGAGCATTGATTCTCTCAAGTTTTCCAGGTATACTATTACATCATCCACCAATAGTTTTACTTTTTGTTTTCCATTTTTTATGCATCCAATTGACTTATTTTGTCTAATTGTATTGGCTCATACTTCCAGTACAATCGTAAATAATGGTCAAGATAATTGGCATCCTTGCCTTGCTCCTGATCTTAGTGGAAATGCCTCTAGTGATTCCTCATTTAGTATATGCTGCCTTTGTACTAAGGTTTATATATTTTATCATGATAAGGAAGTGTCCATCAGTCTCTATTTTCATATTTTTTAAGTAGAAATAATTGCTAGATTTCATCAAAGGCTTTGTCAGCATCAATGGAGATGATCATGATTCTTCTTAGATCATTTAATATGGTATATTTTATTATAATATTGAACCAACTTTGCATTCCTGGAATAAATTGCCTTAGTCATGAGGAATTATTTTCTCAATATGATTTGATTCTGTTTGCTAATATTTATTTTAGGCTTTTTGCAACAATATTTGTAAGTGATATTTGTTTAAGTATCAATGTTATTTTCCTTCCTAAAAATAATTTGGAATTTTACCTTTATTTTCTAAGCACTGAAGGATTTTATGCCACATTAAAACTATCTAATCTTTGAAAGTTTGTACCATCTGTGAAACTCCTTAGACATGGAGCTTCTAGGGGGGAAATTTTCTTGACAATTTTCTCTATTTCTTCCATCTCTAATGGGGTCATTTTGGTAAACTATTTTTTCTAGGTAATTTATCTATTTTACTTACATTTTCAGATGGATTTGCACAGAGATTTACCAAGTAGTCTCATGAATTTTAAAATTTCTAATTTTTTAATAGTTATTTTCTCATTGTAATTCTTAGTTTTGTATTTGGATTTTTCTTACTTTTTTCTTGACTGAGTTAGTGGTTTGTCCATTTTGTTAATTTTTCTAAGAAAGAGGATTTGAATTCCATAGGTCACTTGCCTTCCTACTATCTATTTCATTGATTTCTGATTTTATCTTTATTCTTTCTTTCCTTGTGATGTTTTACCCTGTTGGAGTTTTTCCTTTCTTTTTAAATTGGCAATTTGATTCATTTGGGTTTTCATTTTTATTGATATAAAAAGGTATGAATTTTCCTCATTTTTGCTTTAAATGCCTCTCATAAGTTCTGTCATGTTATGTTTGCATTATATTAATTCATTTTAAAATGGTGGAAACCTGGGAACCTTTACGTGTCATAACTGCCCAAACCAAAAGAATTAACTTTAGTTCTGAGTGGGCAGTTCTATAAGTCAAGCCTTTTCTCTTTTTGTGACTTCTGATTCTGCTACAAAAGGCACCAGACTTGGTAACATGTGTGGTGCCAATTTTTTTAATGAGATAACACATGTGTCTATTATCAACTAGTCAGCATTAGTCATTGGATACCTTCTATGGGCCAGTGACTGTGCTAGGCAGACCTGGGGAAAGACCATGAATAACCAAGACAAATATGCTTCTTGTCTTTGTGAGACTTTCTAGTCTCGGCAGGAAGATACATTAGACAAATCATTTCAGATAATTTGAAAATTACACATATGCCAAAGACGTTATGGTGAGGGAAGAGGTGAGAAGGGAAGCTGAGGGTGGCAGTTGCTCTAGGTTTTAAGCTCCATCCTCCACTTTTAAGCTCATGCTTAGTGAGTGATTGTCCCCCTGGCACTGAATTAAATGATTGAAATCTATTACCTTAAGCCCTTAGAGCAACCCTAAGAGTTGGAGGCCTCCAATCTCAGTTTTTACAAAGAAGGACACAGGCTGAAAGCATAAGTGTCTCAGCCTTGGTTGCAAAGCGAGGGGTTGTCAGAGTGGGGGTTCAACACCAGGCAGTCTCTTCTACGCTGTCATCTACTTCACAGCTTGGGGTTCCAAGTAAGGTTTTGTTTGAACAAGGTCTTCTTATACTTAAAAAAAAAGTTTGGAAACCAGTGGCACAGTGGGGAGCATGCCAAAATCAGGATAAGTGGGAGCCTTTAGGTTGCCGCTGACAGAATACAACTCAACTAGCTCAGGTATAAAGAACCGACTATTGTCTTGTGGTTTCCCAGGAAGCGCTGACGGGCACATGATTCGCGGGGCAGGGACACCTCGGAGCCTCAGGAGATAGCGACAAGGCCAGGTTCTCCGGCCACCAGGGCTCTCCCTCCCTGGGAGTCCTGCCTGCTTCTCTCTGCACATCCTCCTCCTCTCTCGTGGCAGCTTCTCCCCTCAAGATGGAGATCAGGGCTGCCAGCCCGCCAGAGTTTTGCTTCCTTTCGCCAGGGCCGTTTCTCAGGCACAGCTTGGAGGATCTCAGGGCAAGTCTGAGAGGCCTGGCTTGAATGCAGTGCCCACCCCAGATCAGCCACCAGCGGTGTGGTGGGGTGGAAGGACATGGTGCCCGCCGTGGAGGTGGTGCAGGAAACACAATCCCATAGTCAGCAGACCTGGGACAGGGTCACTAGGGCCGCTCCCTCCTTGGGGGCGTGTGCATTGAGTATAATAGGCGTGCTACAGCCCCTTACCTTAAGAGCGTCCCAGGCCGGCGAGGGACTTACAGACTGTAAGCCCCTAACTCTGACATTATGTGCTTAGTTCTGCTACAGGTCCATCCTGTGATCAGTGTGAGGAAGGAGTTTAGGGAAGGCATCCAAATAAGTGGTCCTGAAAAAAAGCACAGCCTTGCAGAGACAGGAATTACCAAGTAGGAGATGGGGTGAGAGAGAAGGCCCAGGGGCGAGAGAGTGGAGCCTATTTAAGAAGCAAAAAGCCATCTGGTAACTGCCGAGGAGCAGCTGGGAAAGACCTTGCTGTCTTGTTTGCAGGTGAAGGGGCTGAGACTTGGTCCTTTAAGCAAGGATCCCAAATGTTGGCTTGCAGGTCAAATCCAGCTCACTACCTGTTTCTGTGTGGCCCCTAAGTTAAAAATGGTTTTTACAGGTGATCATCAATTGACTTGATGGTAGAGAAGACTGACTTTGAACCCCAGCTGAGTGAAATGTTATCCCCCAAAAAAGGAAACCCATTCTTTTCATTAGTAGAACTAGATTACATTATTATTGTATTTTAAATTTCATTGGCAAAAGTTTGTGGAAATTTGTTTCCTCCCTTCCTCCCTAAGTACCTACACAGTAGGTACAATTTTTATCTCTTGGCCCACAAGGTCTAGATAATATTTACCACCTGCCCTTTGGAGGAAAAGCTTTCTGAACCTGGCTCTAAGCGGCTGGGAGCCATTGAGGGAGTTCAACGCAGGGCACAATAGGATTTGTTCTTTGGATTTTTTTTTTAATCATGGTGAGGACAGTGTTGAGAGTGGAATGGAGTGGCCCAAGAATTGAGGCAAGAGGCCTCAGTTTTCTCATCTGAAAAGTGGGGATAACAGCAGCCCTGAGCCCTCCTCCCCTCCCGATTTGTTCTCAGGCTGGGATACTGCGAGGTTTGGAGGCTTGCAGGGGCTGCCCGGGTGCAGAGCCCCGGGGGCGGGGTGGGGGGCTGGCCTGACTGAGTGCCACCCACCCTCGGGAATCTCCCGCCTCCTCTCTCCCCTGAGGTGGGGAGCTGCAATGTGGAAAAACTCTTCTCAAGGCTCTGCCCACACACTTCACTGCAGGCAGGGGAGGGAGCCAGGAATAGCAGAGGATGGCGAATGCTAGCAGCTGTGTGAGCCACCTGACTCGGGCCACACAAACCTTCCTGCGGCCCTGCTGGCTCCAGTGGGGACCAGTTCACTCCACTGCTGCCGGCTCGCCGGGCGGGCTGGTGTCGGGGTGGCTCCTGCGAGTTCCTAAGCCTCACGGCAACGCTCCAGATCCGACCTCAGCAGCTCTGATTTGCAGACAAGGGGCCTGAGGCTCCTACAAGTTAAGTCAATTGTCTGTGGGCAATTTACTG